GTGTGTGTGTGTGTGTGTGTATTATCGACGTTATAATAAAAAATATTTCACCGTCACAACGCGTGCAATGCTGTTAATTTAAATTTTCGATGAACGTATTGTTGAGAAATATTCTCCATTGTTAATCCAGTACTCAAAGTTAAAACGTAAAGACAGAGACGTTCCAACGTTAATGCGCGAATCGAACTCTCGTCTGCGACTTCCTCGCGCAGCAATCTTCTACGTACGCGAACAATGCACTTCCACGCTATTTGCATGCGTAAAGAGTAATTTTCATTTTCGCACAGCGTATCCCCGATACTTGGGGGAGGACAACTTACTTAGAGTTCCTGGAATCGTGGGGACGTTCGCGGTAACTGGGAGTCGACGCGCCCGTCTCGGCCCGGGCCTTCGGCATGATTTATGCAGGCAAATAAATGTCGCCGTCGTGTCATTAGACCGGTTCATTTGAAATGCAAATAGCATTTGCAGCGTGCATCGGATACACTCTCCAATTAAGTGTCCGCGCAAACTTTTCCTGTGGCCCGGGCGACCGCGGCCGGCGGGAAGTTCGCGTGCTTTGAAGTCGAATATAGATTCGCCGAGTAAGACGGAGCGTGAAACTCGATATCTAATTACACGCTCTCCCGGGGGGAGGAGGGGGGGGGTCACCATCCGGAAGCAAGATCGTCGTTTCCCCTCTGTATATCTATACGTATGTATTTGCGAACGGGGGATGAGCGCGAGCGACTCCCCTGTTAATCTTCGAACCGAAGCTCGCTCCCGCTCGCAGTATCGCGTTATCCGCATCGGCCGTCACATCCGACGAGAAAGGCGGAATCGCGTAAACGCATTTCGCTCTTAATCTAATTGAAATCTGCCGCTTACGTGTCCACGAGGACTTTTTGCAGTTATCGGCGTGTTTTCGATTTGTAGCCCCCCCCGTCGTCGACGTACGACGAACGGCCGCGGGAAACGAAGATTTCGTTATTTAATCCGCGAGTTCGCCAACGTTACGCGATTCCGTAACGAAGATTAAGAGAAATGTAATAAAAAATGCTTTCCGCTTTACGGAAATACAATTTCGGGAGATGTAAGTCGGATATTTTATAGAAAAATAGTTGATTTGTAAGTTGCAGTTTGAGGTTTATATCAAAAAAATTAAATTCTTAAATTCTTTTGATCGACGAATTTCAAAGAAATGCGTGTGTTCTAGCGTGGGAAATTGTTCTCCAATTTTAAATCGCATAAGGGGAGACAGATCTCTTTGTCGTAGTTTTACAG